CCAGATTCTCTAACTCCCAAGTTCCTTAGCTCTCCAAATTCCCTAATCCCCAAATTCTCTAATTTTTCCGATTCCCTACTCTCCAAATCATAGAAAAAGCTACGGTGAGATCAGAGAATAAACCAATGCCTCTATAAACAAAATAACATGTACTGCTACAAGACGTTTCATAACTAAAATTTTGCAATAGCCTCTCAGATTAGAATCCAGGAGAGACTGGTATAAAATACTGTCCACAGAAAAAGTTACAGTGAGATCAGAGAATAAACCAATGCCTCTATAAACAAAATAACATGTACTGCTACAGGACGTTTCATAACTAAAATTTTGCAATAGACGTCAGATTATAATCCAGGAGAGACTGGTGTAAAATACTGTCCACAGAAAAAGCTACAGTGAGATCAGAGAATAAACCAATGCCTCTATAAACAAAATAACATGCATTGCTACAGGACGTTTCATAACTAAAATTTTGCAGTAGACGTCAGATTAAGATCCAGGAGAGACTGGTGTAAAATACTGTCCACAGAAAAAGCTATAGCGAGAGCAGAGAATAAACCAATGCCTCTATAGACAAAATAACATGCATTGCTATAGGACGTTTCATAACTAAAATTTTGCAATAGCCTATCAGATTAGAATTCAGGAGAGACTGGTGTAAAATACTGTCCACAGAAAAAGCTACAGTGAGATCAGAGAATAAACCAATGCCTCTATAAATAAAATAACATGCATTGCTACAGGACGTTTCATAACTAAAATTTTGCAATAGACGTCAGATTAGGATCCAGGAGACACCAACAAAAAATACGGTCCGCAAAAAAGGTACGTTGAGATCAGAGGGTGTAGAAGGATCGGTGCTATAAGCTTATTACATGGTCGAGCAAGTTGAGCCGCGACACGCGATCAATTTCAAGCCTGCGTTGGTCGGTGAACGGAATGACGCTCGTATTAGGGGCCCGATCGTTGATAATATTCGACGGGGGGCAGGATCGGGGTGGTGTAACGAACCAGGCCGCGAACAATGTACGAATAATTTTCTAAAGCCGTCCGTGGAAAGAAGTCCCCGCGAGAACAAGCTATCATTAATTATATGCCCGTGTCCGGGCATGTTGGAATGCATATACATTAGCATAAGCCCGATACGCGAGATAGTTCGCGTGTAGGTGTATACAAGCGTGTAGTTGGTCCGAGAAGAATGAAAAAAGGAAAGAAAAATGTGAGAAACGAGGGAAATGAGGAAGGAGAGCGAGAGAAAGGAAGAGCACGGTGAAGAAAGAAGAAAAGGGATCGTATAAGGAAAGCGGTCCCCGGATACCGAGGATGCTCTATAATCCTAACAGATAAACGATGTAGAACGTACCAGGCTATCGTTGTTACGTTTTTTTACATGGAAACGCCAGCAGAGAACAGAGGAAGCGAATCGCAGCGACGCATAGGCGCGTGCAAGTGCAGGGACGGTCTTACAGTTTACGGTGCCCTGCGGCTGGTGTACAAGCTCTACCAAAAGCTGTTATATTTTCTCATTTTTTCATTGAACAAGTTTTTCATATGGGACAAGATTAAAAAAATATATAATTTAGTTAGTTTGATATTTTCAATTTTGTCATTTTTTTTTAAGTTTCTAGATTTCACTGATTTCTGATTCTTTGAATCTTAGAATCTTCGAGTGCTCATATTTTCATATTCTTAAATTTCCAACGTGATGGCATAAATCAAAGAATTCGATGACTTTGCGAGTTAGTTGCGACCGTTACGACAGGCTTGAATTTCATTCCAGATGGAAACAGAATACTGAATTTTATACGGTGTTTTGATAACTGTTTTCAAGGTTAGCTATGAAAGAATGACATTTTATTGTACTATCAGAATTAAAGTCTTAAATTTATAAAGCAGGAAATGTAGGAATTTGATGTGTTAAAAGTCTATCTGTCTGAGTTGATACGACCTCATCCGAATTGATACGAATGCACCCGAACTGGTCTGAGCCTATTGGAATTGATCCGAAGCTAGTTGAATTGATTCGAACCGACTTGAAGTGATCGGTGCGCACCCGAACTGATCCGAACCCAGCCGAATGGATCCATAACCATCTGAAGTGATTGGTACGGGTCCGAGTCGATCCGAACTTGGTCGAATTAATCCGAGTCCATTAAATCTCGTCTAAAAATTTTCGAATTGATCCGAACTCATCGCAATTAATTCCGAATCCACCCGAATTGATCCGAATGCACTTGAAGTGATTGTAACCCATCCGAATTGTTCCGAAACCATCCGAATTGATCCGAATCCACTCGAATTGGTACAAACCCCTCCGAACTGATCCGAAACCACTCGAAGTGATCCGAAACCCATCCGAATTGATCCGAAACCACCCGAAGAGATCCGAAACCACCCAAATTGATTCAAACCCATCCGAATTGATCCGAAACCATTCGAACTGATCCGAAACCATCCGAAGAGATCCGAAACCACCCAAAATTGATCCAAACCCATCCGAACTGATCCGAAACCACCCGAAGAGATCCGAAACCACCCAAAATTGCTTCAAACCCATCCGAACTGATCCGAAACCATCCAAAGTGATCCGAAACCACCCAAAATTGCTTCAAACCCATCCGAACTGATCCGAAACTACCCGAATCGATCCGAAACCGCCCAAATTGTTCCACCTCACCCTCCACATAACCAACGCGATATTATTTCATACAAACCACCTTCAAACATCTATAATTACACACATATGTACCCATACCCATAAATTTCCAATAAACAGAAAATATTACCGTACAGTATTTCATAAAATTATAGTAATAACGTTAATATAATAAAAGTTGGATTAAAGTTGACCCGTATAGGTCGTCGGTAATACGAGGGTTAATTGTGTCGTTACGCCAATGCCTGTTGGAACTTACACGCATTAGCATACGCTTGGTATGCGAAGTAGTAGTGCGTAGGTGTATATAGACGCGGGAACGCGATGCACAAAAATGGCAAAGGTGGCGAGGAATGAAAAAAGAAGGTGGAAAACGGGCCCGAGGGAACGGGTTGACGAATAAAAGGCGCAAAACACGACACGACACGACACAGCGATCGACGTGTTGTTATTATGCGATGTCGTTATAAGAAAATTTCGCTTGGCCTTTCGTAGAGACAGGTAGAATGACGACAGCTAAAAATATCGCGCAACGTGCGGTCGGGTGGAACGTGGACTTCCTTTGAATACGAACGAGTTTCGGGTTGGAGGATTTTGTATTTCTAGGCGATTTTTGGGTATTTTTGTCACAACTTGTGTCGCTGAAAGTGTTATTGTACTGCTGAGTGATGTGGTTGAAAGTTTCAAGGTGTTTGAATTTCTAAATTTATATCTTAACATGTTAGTAGATGAACAAGTTAGGGAGATAACAAGTTAGCATGTCGACAAGTTAAGAAGTTGATGAATGAATTAATTAATGGACTAATAGGTTAACAAGTGAAGAAGATAACAAGTTAACAAACTACCGAATGAACAAGTTAACATGTCAATAAGTGAACAAGTTGAAAAGTTGACAATTTAATAGGGCAGCAGGTTGACAAGTTAACAAATGACAAATTGACAAGGCGCCAAGTTCATAAGCTGACCAGTTGGCAGGTTGATAAGTCCACATGTTTATACATTAACAAGTTGACGAGATGATAAGTGGAGCAGTTGATAAGTTAACAAATTGATAGGTCGATAAGTTAACAAGTTGACAAGTAACCAAGTTGACAAGTTAACAAGTTGACGGTTTAGTAGGCTAACAAGTTGACAAGTTAACAAATGACAAATTGACAAGGTGCCAAGTTCATAAGCTGATCAGTTGACAAGTTAATGAGTCGACATGTTAATACATTAACAATTTGACCAGATGATAAATAGAGCAGTTGATAAGTTAACAAGTTGATAGGCTGATAAGTTAACCAGTTGACAAGTTAACAAATTGACAATTTAATATGCTAACAAGTTGACAAGTTAACAAATGACAAATTAACAAGGTACAAAGCTCATATGTTGACAGGTTGATAAGTCGACATGTTAATACATTAACAACTTGATCAGATGATAAGTCAACAAGTTGACAGGTCGATAAGTTAACTAGTTGACAAGTTAACAAGTTGACACACCAAGTTAACAAGTTGATAGGTTAACCCCCCAGTCAATTTTCATCCCAAGAAACGCCATGAAAACACTGGATAACCCTTCCGGTTGTAACTCGAATAGTTCGTACAAGGAACGTGGCGAAGTAAACGCTGATAAAACCATGAACGGTGGTTGCGTAAAGATAAAGCTGCAGATACGAGAGCTTCTCGATTTAAACGTACGGTTGCGAACATTTATCCACGCGAGGACTTAACGCCACGTTTAATTTGCATTATCGTCAATTTCCCTGAAATAGCCGGGATTACAACATCTTCCTTTTGTTCATTTTCTACTTGCTACAGACGGTCACTGCTTTTTTCTCATTTTTTTTTTCATTATTTTCATTATTTATTATAGCGTTAATAATTATTATAAATTTCATTGGTAATCATGGTGTCGATAATTATTATAAATTTTGTCTGATAATCATTCTGTGGAAAATTATCATAAGTCTTAACCTAACCATCCTGTCAATAATTATCATAAGTTTGATAACCATTCTGTCAATAATTATCATAAGTTTGATGACCATTCTGTCAATAATTATCATAAGTTTCTTTGATAATCACCCTGTCAATAATTATCATAAGTACATTCATTAATCATCATGTCAATAATTATTATTTTTGCCAATAGTCATTGAATTTCTTTAAAAACCTTGATGATAGTTAAACAATCAATTAACGATGAATTTTAAAGAATGTACATGTTTATAACTCAGAACCATCTAGCTATTTTTAGTACTGTATTATCATTGCTCACATATGATCTTCATGTCCAAAAATTCGTTTTTAATATTCAAGTCTTGTACTGGTTCGTAAGTTGGAGATAAGTAACTTACCAAGACAGGTGATCGCATGATCGGCTGGTGGTCGCAGGACATTTCGAGCCCAGGCTGCCCTCAAGACCTCGAGGGCACAGGGTGGTCCACCGACCATCAACACGCCAGGTGCTACGTGACCCTTGTACCTTAATTGCCGGGTTGCGTCCACCAAGGCTGCGTTCCACCAGCATTTGGAGTTTGCCTCCAAAAAGCCCTGCAACATTTACGAAAATTAGTACTCTGATCACTTTATTAACAGACAGGGTTCTAATTAATCCTTCGGAACAAAGGATCTTTCTGAACCTGCCCTGAAGAAATACGTCTGTTTCGAAATCTGGTTTCAAAGCTCATAAATTGTACAGTATAAAATTCAAGTTGAGAATAATATTCTGAAATGATCTCAAATAAAAATTCATGCATTAATGTTAAATATCAGTAATCTTAAATAAATGTACTCATATATTAATGTTATATAAATGTATTCACACAGTAATCTTAGATAAATGTATTCACACAGTAATCTTAAATAAATGTATTCACACAGTAATCTTAAATAAATATATTCACACAATAATTTTAAATAAATGTATTCACACAGTAATCTTAAATAAATATATTCACACAATAATTTTAAATAAATGTATTCACACAGTAATCTTAAATAAATGTACTCACACAGTAATGTTAAATAAATAACATCACCTTCAATTAATTATTTATGTGAAAGCACAAGTCTACCAGTTCGTATTATAGCAATGCATGCAGTCGTAATTTTCAATTTCAAATGAATGCAAGTAAGCTACTTTACATAGCTATTGTAAAACCACTGTTACACAAGAAGTCAATAAATATTTGATACAATGGATTAGCATATATCGTAAAATGACTAGCTAGTCAATTCTATCTAAAATTGATGGCTAGAAGCAGATTAAAGATAAGATAAAGAGGGATCAATCAGGGATATACATCGGAATGTCGACATATTGTTACGCAACATACGGAAAAGGAACAAGTCCCACAAATAGTCCGCAATGTCGTAACAGCGATATATCTTCCATTACGAGGACGACGATCGTACCGAAGATAGAATCTCAGGATTCGTTCGGTAAAATACGGTCGTGCCGTTAAGTGTTTACTGCCAGGGGTGTTGCTCACCCTTCTCGTAACTCGCAGCGAAACTGTGCCACCCTCGTAGTGCTCGATCCCCGGGTAGTTATACGGGGGTAAGCCATGATGGGGGTCGAATAAGCCAGACAGTGCTCATAAACGAACGTCCCCGTAGGATTTTCACCGAACGTTGCCCTTTTCTACCCCCTTTTCTTTTCATCATGACGTTCTTCGTTGCCTCTGCTTCACGGTAAACCATGAAATTAGAAGTGTTCGAATCGATTGGTCGATTCATGAAGCTATCGTGATTCATTGTGACCTTTGTGTGCGTCGAACACACGGTTCTCCTCCCTTTCGTAACTCCACTCGAGATAAAGCCATGAGTCTCGGTGTTATAAATCAAAATGTTTTTCATGTCGACGGAAGATTTAATGACATTGAAAATTTATCGAAATCGGTGTTTGTAAGTGACGATGTAACGCGTGTTGATACGTAGCATATAATACAGGAAGTAACTATTTAACTCGTGGTAATTATAATGTGTGAGGAAGTACAATAGAGAATATAAAGCGTGGAAATATAATTCGTGATGGATTTAAAGCATGGAAAATGTCGGGCGTGGCGATATAGTGTGTAACAAATATCACATGTGATGATAACGCATAGCAAGTATAAGTCGTTGCAAAAATCACACGTGGCGATATAATGCGTGGAAGATACCACACATGGCAATATAATGCGTGGAAAATATCACACGTGGCGATATAATGCGTGGAAAATATCACACATGGCGATATAATGCGTGGAAAATACCACACATGGTGATATAATGCGTGGAAAATATCACACATGGCGATATAATGCGTGGTAAACAAAAATCATTGAAAATATCATGTGGTGATATAACGCGTGATATATATATCGCAGGCGGCAATATAACGAGTGGAACAATCACACATGGCGATACAACGTGTGGGAAATTACCACGCGTGACAAACATCACATGTGGCGATATAACGCGACAATACATGACTCGTTGCAATATAAGCGAGTATGCATAGAGAATATCACGAATAGCAATATAACGCGTGGTAATCAAATGTGCAGTGATATAACGCGTGGTGAACACAACTAGTGTTGATATAACGCGTACCATAAGTAATATAATGAGAGGTAATGCAACATGTTGCGATACAAAGCAATATAGCTATCAAAGGTCCCAAACTTATTTTGACAGGATTTACATAATACGCTAGAAAGTTGACATTTTCTTATGCAACGTATTATGAGAAGGACTCGTTTCAGAATTGAGTAGTGATCATACAAGATGTTTTTCTCGGAGTCGCGATCAAGATAGCGACGTCGATGTCTGTTTTTCAAGCGTACAGGTTGGAATAAATAGAAACGTTCCTGTTGTGGCTTATCTCGTTATTTTCCTTTTACTTCCGCCATACAAGTATTGATGTTATTGGAAGATTTGTAGCGACCAGACATTGTATCGCGTTTCAAACATTACCCGTTCTAATTTGATTACCGTTGCCCATTATACAACCCGTGTTTAACACGCAGTTTTATCTCTGCTTCGATTCCCGTCCGTAACCCATTCTCTACGTTTTGTTTCGCTTTGTTTTCGTTCTTAAAAATTGTTCGACTTTAATCACGCTCGTGACATTCGGCGCTATCGATCTCTCGACCAATTTGGAACGGAACACTGACAAAACGGGCGACCCTTTTCTTTTTCTTTTGCACCCTCGTTCTTTATTTGCACATTGAACGGAGCACGACTGGAGGACCCTCGACTGGGTTGGCACGCTGCACCTGACAGGATATTTTTCACTCCGTATTCCGATTGAAAGCGTTCAACGAGCTCCTCCCCGAAACGTTTGCGGATAATTCCACCGTGTATCGACCGTAATGGCACTTACGCTCTAGTGGCGTGACGCCATTTTTAGACAGGGCCAAATCGAGCTCGATATACAAACTACTTTTATTTTAATTCATTTGTTGTGCAAACATGAAATAACTACATTTTTAATTTAACTAGAAATTCGTTACTTTTATTATACTACAATGGTAGTATTTTAGTGTTTTACTGTTGTACTGTTTTACTATGGTACATTCTAGCCAACTATTCTATTACTGCGTTAATGTACTATTGTACTATTATACTGCTGTACTATTATATCACTATATTATTAGGCCATTATAATACTATAACACTGCACTATTATACTACCATACTACTATGCTACTATGGTACTGCACTACTATACTATTATACTACTATGCTACTATACTACTATACTACTATATTTCTATACTATTATACTACTATACTACTACACTACTATACTACTGCACTACTACATTACTATACTACTGTACTATTATACTACTGTACTACTATACTATTATACTACTATACTACTATACTACTATACTACTATACTTCTAAACTATTATACTACTATACTACTGCACTACTACATTACTATACTATTATACTATTATACTACTATACTACCATACTACTATACTACCACACTACCATACTACCATGCATCGTTTTATATCTACACAGTCGAGCAACGCGAAACTCCCTTCGAAAGGACCCGTACGCTTCGAACCAACACGGCTAGGGCAAAGAACTCCACCATATTTTAAAGTCCCGATACGATATAAAGGATAACTGCTTTCCTGTGTACTCGCGTGTGTTCGGAGGCTCGTTCGATTTCCGAGAGCCCTCGGGGAGAATATTTTCCGTTTCCGCGATGTATACAGTGTACACGCGATATCGTCCCGATAACTGCGATACCTTGCCAAACCGGACGTCGGGAAATAAAAGTTCGGTGACAGGGAATTACTTTATTCCGTCCCTTATTCGCGTTTATTTTCCTCTTTTAGTTCGGATCTTGCCGCGCGATCGGTATATACTTCATACGCCCGACGTTACGGTGCAAATTAACCTGTTCCGAGAGGAGTTACAGGCTAATCTTTTCACGGATAATGCAACCTGTTATCTAAAGTTGTAAGTAGTGAACGATGGTGAGTCGAAAGGTTTAAGGTTACGTACTGAAAATATTTTAGAATTAAGAAAGTTGTATTATATATTGACAAATGTGGTATGACTCATTGATAACAGTATAGGAATCTGCACTGGTACTTAAACAATATACCTAAATAATATAAGAATCTTCCTCCTACAAACAGTAAACTTTTCAGTGAACTTCAACCTATCTAACTTCATGTACCCATTACTCAACCTATATGTTCTTTTGCAAGTCGACTAACACTCGAAGCTTTAATCATACATCCTCATATATACAAGTTGTCTCACAATTAATGAAGTGTAGCACAACTACCTCCCTGGTTGTAAGTAGTGAACGATGGTGAGTCGAAAGGTTTAAGGTTACGTACTGAAAATATTTTAGAATTAAGAAAGTTGTATTATATATTGACAAATGTGGTATGACTCATTGATAACAGTATAGGAATCTGCACTGGTACTTAAACAATATACCTAAATAATATAAGAATCTTCCTCCTACAAACAGTAAACTTTTCAGTGAACTTCAACCTATCTAACTTCATGTACCCATTACTCAACCTATATGTTCTTTTGCAAGTCGACTAACACTCGAAGCTTTAATCATACATCCTCATATATACAAGTTGTCTCACAATTAATGAAGTGTAGCACAACTACCTCCCTGGAATGGGAGGTAGCTGACGTGATTCTGAATAAGATTTCCCTTTGCAAAAATGGGGTTTGAAGCTTCGTTTTTGAATTATTAAGGAAAAACACGGGAGAGTGATGGCTTCGAACCTACAGCTGAGCGCGATCATGAACAAATGCCTTTGCTAGGCTCGAAGATATCGCTCTCGCATCTGCACACGCGTAGTACTACATTTATCCCGTCACAAAATTACAAAGCCATTTTCTATTACAAAATCTCTTAAGACAACTCAATTTCCATTATCCGGAATTCAACCCAAATACAATTTGTTCATTTAACCCCTCGGCTCATAACATCAAGTAATACTCCTGACCAAAATTATATTCAGTAAGCCTACATCTATGAAAGCAGTGAACCACTTCCAAGATTA